AGCCCGACTGAGCACCCAGGCTCCCCTAGACTTTATTTTAAAATTTTTTTTTCAACGTTTTTATTTATTTTTGGGACAGAGAGAGACAGAGCATGAACGGGGGAGGGGCAGAGAGAGAGGGAGACACAGAATCGGAAACAGGCTCCAGGCTCTGAGCCATCAGCCCAGAGCCTGACACGGGGCTCGAACTCAGGGACCGCGAGATCGTGACCTGGCTGAAGTCGGACGCTTAACCGACTGCGCCACCCAGGCGCCCCCTCTAGACTTTATTTTAATGTGCTATCAACTCAAAAGCTCCTCAGTAATATACAACTGTTTGCTTCTCAACTAAATGACTAAACCAACTAAAGGTTATGCTGCTCTTGGAATTCATGCACATATACATTACTCCCTCTATCTTTGCTTCTGCCGTTTCCCCTTTAAAATATTCCCCTCAGTTTGTATTCCCTCTGTCATGCTAGTATTTATGTACATGTGCTCATTTTCTTTTCGCTCTGTATAAATATTTCTCATCTTTCCAAGTATCAGTTGTCACATCTTAATGCTATAATTTTACTTCTCCAGCACCCTTGAACTTCTTAATTTGAAGCTTTTAATATATTGTGTTCCAAAGGGGAATATAACCAATCTCGTTAGAATTGTTAGTAGACTAGACTTTGAATGAGTGGCTAAAAAACTCTCCTGTGTCCGGTTAAGAAGTTTTAGCTGTTCATTGCCTGTCTGGTTGTCCAATTATTTCCCTTAGGTAAAATAAGTCAGATATCGGAGTTCTTAATAGATGAAGAGTTATTCATCTTTTTATGCATATATTCTTTATTCCTAACTAGATTGCCAGTAGAGATCATCTGTTTTGTTTTGTATTATATTTCCAGTACCCTTCCTAGTACTTTGAACTTCAGTTACAATTAATGTGTTTTTTTGATGGGAATTGTATTGGTGAACTAATTTTATGGATGCCTGAGCTATGTTGTCCCAAATTTGGAGAACCAGTTTATTAAATCATATGATTTTCTAGAACAAGGGTTGGCAAACTTTTTCTTTAAAAGGACGAGGCGGTGAATATTTTCAGCTTCGTAGGCCATAAGGTCTTTGTCACAACTCCTTAACTCTGCTGTTGTAGCATATACCAGCCAGAGAGGTTATGGAAATGATCATGGTAGTGTTCCAGTAAAACTTTATTTAGAAAAACTGGTTATTTTCATGACCATGGAGTTTTACTTTTTTGATCTTTTAACTCAGACAGTTTGCTGTATAGAACACATTAAGATTTTATCAAAACCATTTAGAATGACCTTTCCAGCAGCTTGGCTGTTATTTATTGTTCTAGCATAACACTTTGGGTATAGGAAATGAGATACCCAGGCTGATCATTCTTTGGTATTTCTCATAGGACTTAAGAGCCCTATGGCTTTTTCCAAAATGTCCAAAAATGTCTTTTTCCAAAACTCTCTTTCTAATGTCAGAAGGTTCTCACTTTGTCACATAACCGGAAATCCTGAGATCCAAATGATTATTAATCATCTTTCATAAAAATTTAAATGTCCTTGGGAAGGTTAAAGAAATAAGAGTGAATATTTTATACCTGAAGCACCTGAAGCAGATTGCAGCCCTCATTATACATGGCTGAAATCAACACATAAGGGGATGATATTGATACAGAAGGACTCTGCCAAGGAAAGCTTAGAAAGTTCTGTTGATGTTTTTCAGGGGAGTTGGGGGGAGTAGGGAGAGAAGGAGGAAGGTAGGGGAAAGGGAATATTGAGAAGATCAAAGATGGAAGAGGGGTTTCTTTAAACAGCCAGAGAGGGGGGCATTAGGCTACTGGAGGCCGTGAGAAAGGATCTTTGGGGAATTTCGTGCCTTTCCCCTTTTGTAAGTTAAGTTTTTATTACTTGAAAATGTTTTATGCCAGTTCTGAACAGACTACCTAAGTTTTGGAACGTAAGAGAGCAAGAGAGTTCCATCACTGCTGCATGTCAGTAGTGAGAAGTAAAAAAAAAAATAACCAGTTTCAACTGTTGCTGAGGATTGCCACCTGCCACCTTTGGTAAATTTGTTAGCAGATGCCAACCCCTGTTCTGGATAGTGGGATAACACAGATCCAGATTTTTAGATGTGACCTACCTTGTTACTTTGGTTTCAAAGAAGAATCACTTATTTTAAATCACCCTTTAAACATATATTGATTAAATACCTGAACTACAGAACCAGTTTATATGTTATGTCATTTGCAGGTAAAAATGGTTTTCTTTTCTTGTTTTTATCCATTCTTGCAGCTTTAAAAGTTACGTATCACTAGGTCTATAGAGTTGTGACTCCAGACTTATGACTATTAACTGTAGCTGTATCTCATTTTGAAATCTTATTTTGTTTACTTCAGCATACCTCATCTCAGAACTAGAAGCTGCCAGAATGCTCTGTGTGAATACTCCTCCAAAAAAAGCTCAAGAAGGAGGCGGTAGTGAGGTCTTTCAAGAGTTGAAAGGCATATGTATTGCTCTAGGAATGTCCAAACCTCCAGCCAATATAACTATGTTCCAATTCTTCAGCGGGATTGAAAAAAAAGTAAGACCTTTAGTACCAGATTGTAGTGTATTAAAGGCATAGTCCTACATTTGTTTGAAATGAAGCAAGTTAATTTCTCTAAATGGGAACCTAATGTGCATATTATTGTTACTAAATGAGTTTTGGGTTTTAAATCCTAGATACCTTAAAGAGAAATTAGTGTTTTACTATTTTTTTAAACTTGTGAGCATGTTTCTTTTTCAAAAAGGAAGCTTTACGCTTTGACTTATAAACTGAAATAAGCTAGGTATAATGTAAAAAGAATTAAGACTTAAGTCCTTTTTAAAATTTTATCACTGAACTTTGAGGCAATTAATTTTTAAGGTCTTTATCATTAAATGTTATCACCTTCCTTTCCATTGACTGGACAGAAAAGGATGTCAATGTTTTTGGTTTTTTAATCCAGTCACTTTGAGTCTTACATGTTTCAGATGGCAAGCTAGGTTTGTTGACCACTACTAACAACCTAGTATGTGAAAATAAGTCAGAATTATATTTATGCCACATGTAATCTACAGTTAAGAGGTTTTAAAAATATAATTGACTAGGAATAAGCAATTTTAATAAATATAAGAGAATGGTATTTGTTATAGCAGAGTTATTCTCTGTATGCATATCTGCTGGACTCTAAGAATTGGTACATTTGCATTGTGGGGTCAGTGGACACCATGATGCACAAATTCGGCTGAACTCTACAGGGGAGCAGCACTGTATCCATAGTCTATATTTTCTGTGTGTTCATTCATCCATTCAGCAAATACCCATTGAGTGCCTACTGTTGTCAGGCACTGTTCTAGGTACAGTGAAGGAATCATGCTTCCATAGGCACTTGAGGAGTGGGACAAGTGAGTGTCTTTATCGTGTGGGTCTTGTACATTTCAAAACATCCTCCACCTTTGCCTCTGTCAGGAATCTTCTTTTGATGGCAAGATATGATGGGAAATGGGAAGATGAGGAAGATATGTTTTACTTTTAGATTTGTTTATTCATTCATTTATGTGTTTGTGTCAGTTAAAGGAGACCTTAGCAAAAGTTCCACCTAACCATGTGGGAAAGCCTTTATTGAAGAAGCCAATGGGACCAGCCCACTGGGTGAGTAGCAGTCATCTTGAGTAAACTCGGTAAAGAACCATCTACCTCTCTCATGGTGTTGACACTTACAGTTTGTGTTGTTTAAGTTATGTTTTCTGATATGTAGTATCCTAGCTGGACATCCTCAGAATCAGTTTTGTGAATCTTAAGATTTAGGCAGAATAATTTTATTTGTGTATGATTAGAAGCACTTACCTCATAATTTGTAAATATTTCACATAGCTAGTAAAAAATAAATTGCAGTCGAGTATGTTTCTAATTGCCAAATGGGTTGCCTTCAAGCCAAAAATGTCACTGGGCTAAGCTTCACACAGTGAAATATGGGAAGGCTTAATGAGAATTCTGTGCTTATTCTTTATTATGTTTTGAGACATTGTTTTGCCTATTTTTTTTATCAACTTACTATAACTTTTAGTACTATATCAAGTAATTTGTTTTGTGCTAAGTGCTGGGGAATTAATTGGTTATGAATGAAGCAGACACAAGTTTCTGCCCTCTTAGAACAGGGGGTCAAGCAGATTTAAATTCTAACTGGTCTTTTAAATTTTGTTTTTAGGAAAAGATAGAAGCAATTAACCAAGCTGTAGCCAATGAATATGAAGTTCGGAGAAAGCTGCTAATAAAACGTTTGGATGTCACTGTCCAGTCTTTTGGCTGGTCTGACAGAGCTAAGGTACATACTAAATAATTTAAAAGAGCAGAGTATTTATAGACATGATCCTTAAACATTCCTAGCACAGGTTAGCTATGGTGGAGACTACAAGAGAAATGCATAGGAGACACATACAGGAATTTTTCTTCAATGAGTTGCTGAGTAGCAACTCTTCCAGCTATTCAGCAATAATGAAGAAAACATTTTTTTCAGGCTTTTCAATTTTTTTTTTTAGCAAAACTGTATGTTTTAGGTCCTACTAAGAGTACCCATTTGTAAGAGAAATGGATAGAGTATTTAAAAATCGCTAAAATAATAAATTTTGAAATCACTTGTTTGCTATACTTAAAGCTAACAATTTGTTACTTAAAGTGAGAAATACTGGATTTAGCAAGACCAGATATTACTGTGCATTTATAGAGAATTGGAGAATCTGGTAAGACTTCAGTTTTACTTCAGATTAAATGAGATAATCCAGGTAAAGATCTTGGTCACTCAACAGATATTTATTAAATATTAAATATCTACTATACGATCAGTAAGCAGAAAGAAATTGGCACACTTGACTAATTTGACCTCCTTAGAACCCTGAAGTGGAGCTGATCCTTGAATTTATGGGGAGGTTGGTCCAAATGTGTATGAGGTATTCCCTTAATAGTATATTCCTGTTTGAAAACAGATTTTTTTTCTGAATTTTAGTTAATTGACTCTGAAATGGTTTTTATTTAGTTCTCTGGTTATTTGTTAATAATATGTTATTTTCACCTGGAATCTTTAAACCTTAGCAAAGCCCTATTTGGCTGCTACATTATTGGGGTAGATATTTATCAACTTACAATTCTTCAGTGTTGGAAAGGGGTCTTAGAGATCGGTCTTAATTCCCCTCATTTTGCAACTGAAAGAAAATGGAGGCTTTGTCTGAGACCTCACAGCTACTTGGTAGCAACACATGGAGCAAATGGTTCTCTCCTGTGACTGTTGTAGGAAATACCAGAAACAATCATTTCACGCTCAGCGGGGTCCATGCACTTGAAACAAAAACCTTGCACCTCTTGTAGCTAGAAAACCATCTACTGACTGACGTCAGTGCACTGACTGAGGCACTGACAAACCACGGTCCTGAGTTTGGCATCGGCATGACAGCACAGGGCATCCTGACCCTGTGTGTTGGAGCTGCTGTTTCTCTCCCCATTTTGGACATCTCTAAAATAATCATGTTTAGTCTAAGTGATATTTAAGATCCTTTTGAACCATAATACACAGTGATTTTACACGCTATATTAAATGTATTGGGGAAGATCAGCATTGTACAGATTACTTACACAAATCTTTTTTTTTTGTTTCCTCTAACGGAATTTAGGTACTGATATCTCATTTTGAAACTTGGTTTTAGATAACTTCATAGAAATTACTTTATATGCACAAAATGAACTTGTTTCACATAATGAAATTTATGTACTTGTATCACTTTGAAATTGCATTTTAAATCAGTTTTATTTGCAACATAAAACTATTTTCTCAAAAGTGTTTCCATTCAACAAACAGTGAGTCGAGCACTTACTGTAGGTACAAGTGGCTATAAAAAAGAAATACAAGACATTAGGAAACATTCCTCCAGACAAACTATGGAATGACAATCTCTTTATCCTTTTAATTATTAAAGAAAACTTTTTCAAATAAAAAGTCACTGATCATCCCATTGTTTTAACCACAATAGCTGTTTTCATTTTTAGTATTATCTCCCTTCTTTTGTCTATATATACAATCATAACAAACTTTTTTACATTGTTTTTTCACATAAACATTTACCGTCCATATTTTAAGACCTGTGTATAACTGACACCAAATATTATGTCTTTGTGCTATTTTACTGTGTATCATACTTGTAACTGTTGCTTCCAAAATTTAGTAGATTGGAGATTGTTGTTTCTCACATTTAGATTAATTTGTCTGGGAAACATTTCTTATATTTGTTTGAACTTTACTTTCTTGTGTGTGAAATTTCTCTTTATGTCCTTTGCTCATTTATCTTTTGCAGTCTTGTGTTTCACACACATCTAAGTGGCCTGCCCCGGTGTCCCAGTTTCCCTGTGTTTTGTCTCTCAGGAGCTGACAGTTTTAGTCATTAACTTACCCTTCTACTAAATGGTTAATGTACACCTTTTTTCCTTATTTATTACTTATAATAGAGGAAAGTATTACACAGGGGGATCACTTTGGAAGAAATGTGTCCTGTTAACATAATTAGTACAAATTAATCATAGCTAACATTTTTTCTCATTGTAAGTAAAGATGGGAAAATTAAAAAGCAAAATTGCTGAAATGGTTTACATCCTTGTATCTACGTAGATAAAACAAATATGTTTGATCTGAGACCAATGGCAGGGGGGAACCTTTTTACCTTTTTGGCCCCACAATCCTAAAGGGAAGCCCCTTGACCCTTTGTATCTGCCTCCTGGCCACCTCCCAACATTATTCTTTGCTCTATTAGCAGGTCTCACAGTTGTATCTTCAGATAGTTATTGACTAGGTTGGAGCAGTGGTGAGTATAATGTTTCTCCTCCAACCTTAAACCTAGTAACATTATCAGACATTTGGGAAGTCTTGAACATATTTAATATCCGTGTTTCTTTTTCATTTTGAAAATTGACTTTTGTCTTTGAACACTTTGTTTCAACAGAGTCAGACAGAAAAATTAGCAAAGGTTTACCAGCCAAAACGCTCAGTCTTATCTCCTAAAAGTACTATTTCTGTCGCCCACCTTCTGGCTGCAAGACAGGACTTGTCGAAGATTTTAAGGACAAGCAGTGGCTCTATAAGAGAAAAGACTGCCTGTGCCATCAATAAGGTGATTAAAGTATCTTCACTTTTCTTTCACATACATTTATTTCTATTTATAAAAATACAGCAGTTTAAAACCTCTTTCTTACCCCATAGGTGTTGATGGGCAGGGTGCCTGACAGAGGAGGTAGACCCAACGAAATTGAACCTCCACCTCCAGAGATGCCACCATGGCAGAAAAGGCAAGATGGCCCCCAGCAGCAAGCAGGAGGCCGAGGAGGAGGGAGAGGTGGTTATGAACATTCCTCATATGGAGGACGAGGAGGTCATGAACAAGGAGGAGGGAGAGGTGGACGTGGTGGCTATGACCATGGTAGCCGCGGGGGAGGAAGAGGAAATAAGCATCAAGGAGGCTGGACGGATGGAGGGAGTGGAGGAGGAGGAGGTGGCTACCAAGATGGTGGTTATCGAGATTCAGGTTTCCAGCCAGGTGGCTATCATGGTGGTGGCCACAGTGGTAGTTATCAAGGTGGTGGTTATGGTGGCTTCCAAACATCTACATATACAGGAAGTGGTTACCAGGGTGGTGGGTACCAGCAGGACAATAGATACCAAGATGGCGGGCATCATAGTGATCGAGGCAGTGGTCGTGGAGGGAGAGGTGGTCGTGGAGGCCGGGGTGGACGTGGAGGCCAGGGAGGAGGTTGGGGAGGAAGGGGGAGCCAGAATTATCACCAAGGGGGACAGTTTGAACAGCACTTCCAGCATGGAGGTTATCAGTATAATCATTCTGGATTTGGACAGGGAAGACATTATACTAGTTGAGGCTACGGAACCTTACATTTTGCTAGAGCTCAAGTAATAGAAACTTAGTTTCAGAATTCTGAGTCCAGCATCAATTTTGAATTAATGTGAGACCACAGGTGGCAGGCAGATTCCTGCTTGGCATAAGTATTTGTAGGTCTTCATTCAATTCTGTTTTTGTTTTTTTTTTTTTTAAGGACTTACATAATGCAGTTTGTTTGAGAAACATATACAACCTCTCTCCTTTGTATGAAGAATTTTTTAAAAGGTAATTAAAATTGCCTTTAATTGACCAGTAGACTAATTCCACAGTCAGAACACGTGTACTTTTTGGGGAAGAAATTACTTGAATAAGTAGTTTTCAAAAAGCAGTTTTGAAAATGAGGATTCTCCTAGATTTTTTTAGATTTACAACTAGGAAGGCTTCCTCATATTAACAGTCCATTTATATGTGTTTTCCTTGAAGTATTCTAATGCCTATTTTCCAAGCACAGTTCTGCCCCGATTGGCTTTTTATTCAGAGAGATTATGCCACATTTGCTTCATGATAGAACTTTGGGTCTGTTCCTATTAAATGAGCTCTTCTGCAGATAGCACATTCAGTAGCCTTATTCTTTTGATGGAATACTGTACCATATGCTCAACTCTGAAAACCTTGAACACGGCCAAAATCCGTAAAGATTATAAAAGCAAACTAAGTTGTGAACCTATAATACATGTAGGCATTTATATAGTATAGCAATTCAAACTGACCTGCATCCATTCAAAACAAGTTCCTCCTTAAACCTTATTTTTACTTGAAATCTGTTAGAAGAAACAGCAAACTGAAATTTGTTTTATGCACGAGTTAATACCACTGGCTCAGCAAATACAAAATTAGTTTGCTTGGGGCAGGAGACTTTTTTTGTAATGGAAGAAATGCACTACCAAGTAAGAGGACAGATTTTTGCTTAGTGCAGGAGGCCCTTTATTATTGCTGCAGAAAACAAAAGCCTGGCTGAGTTGATGTTTTACATTCTCCTTTACTGAAATCTACATGAAGCTTCGGGCTGGGTTTTTGTAAACGTAAACATTGTCAAGCTGTGAAAGAAAATGGCTGGAGGTGTGCTTTGTGTGAAAGGTGAGCAATAAAGTATCTGTATGTTCTCTCTCTGGTTTGAGTTTTCTTTTAGCTACTTTTAAAAACTGAATTGTTGTGGATACTTGTTTCCAGCTTAAGAGCTAAGAGTTTGTTTCCCCAAAGATTATTGAGTGTTTCTTTAAAACATAATTTGTAATGAAAGATAATCCTTACCCTAAGGCCATAAATAATTGAAAAATACGTATTTCCAAATTTACCTTTCACTAGAACATTACAGCTAGAAAGCTTCACTACTCATTTCTGGCCACTGGGGGGAGCTGTTGTTACACAATGTATTAGGCAAAGATAAATTAATGACCATAATCTTTCAGGGTTTTTTTTTATTTCACCATTCTTCCTACGAATGAGGGACATTTTTCTTAAAAGGAAGTGAACTGAAAATATGTTTGTAAAAACAGGAATAGTATTTCCTTTTCCTACTAAATGTCTTGCCATAGAATAGCAATATTCTTTTTGCTATTGAGATAGGCACGTTCTTTTGGTACCTAAAAACCATTTTAAAAGCCTACCTTGATCATTTTGTTAATTTTACCAGTTTTTTAGATTTTTTTTGGCAAGACTTTACCATCCTAAAAGGTTCAAACTTGAAGATAATTGAAAATACTCTTATTGGGGCGCCTGGGTGGCGCAGTCGGTTAAGGGTCCGACTTCAGCCAGGTCACGATCTCGCGGTCCGTGAGTTCGAGCCCCGCGTCAGGCTCTGGGCTGATGGCTCAGAGCCTGGAGCCTGTTTCCGATTCTGTGGCTCCCTCTCTCTCTGCCCCTCCCCCGTTCATGCTCTGTCTCTGTCACAAAAAAAAAAAAAAAAAAATTAAAAAATTTTAAAAAAAAAGAAAATACTCTTATTTATCATTAAAGATTTTAAGGTCTGTCTTGAAAGTTGTAATTATTGGTGTCTCTATGCTATTAAATATATTTAGTATGTATAGGGATGTCCTATCGGAAATAAAATTGTCAAGGTCTCACATCTTAACCTAGAATGTATTCTCAGTAGTTACCTTAACATTTATCTGTTTTGTAACCAAAGACTCCACAGTATACCTAATGAATATGTTTCATTCTTTTGACAAACATAATTTTGATTTATTTTTGTGGTTAATAGACTGCTTTTCAAATTTGAGCATGTAAGCAAGCAAATACACATTTTTTTTTATGATGGCTCTGAAATTTGCATCTCCGTTTTCTGCCTCAAACTAGCATTTTCCCCCCATTATAAACCCATAAAAAGATGGTCTTTTAGTTTCTCCTCTTTGACAGATTAAGTTCTCTCTGAATAGGGTATCTTTCAAACCACCAGTTAGTCATTATATTAAAATAAAGTTCTGAGATTTTGTATAGAGCGTGTATCGATTTTACACATATTCGTAACTTTAACTTGCAGTAAACAATAACTAGGTTAGGGAATGTGGGAATTTCTTGGAGAAATAAATGTTTACATGGGAATTTTTGACATATGAAATTTTAAAATACTGTTAACTTAGATTGAGAAAGAACCTTTTGTTAGTGCTTTTGTTTCTTCTCTGAACCAGAAACTAAAATAGCGTGTCCACATTCTCTGTGGAGATTATCTGACATCTGCCACTATCATTCTCATTTCTTGCTCTAGATCCAAAATGAGCTAGTATCCATCCAACTGTGCTGGACACAGAAGAGTTAAATAAGTTCTTGCTAAGGGAAACCATTTGAAATCATGTCTGTATATACTAACCTATTTTCCCACTGCCCAAATCACTTACATTCTATTGGATTTTTTTATGTTGTGCCCATTCTACCTTTCTGGATATTTTATTTACCTACATTATATCCTTTTGAAAATAGGTTTTAGACATATTCATAGTACTTAACCATTCTGTCTTAAGTACTTTGGATGGTATTTGATTCATTATTTTTTAACAGGGCCATTGGGTTTACTTACAAAATACATTCATCACAGGGTACCTAATGTTCTATAAAATGTCTTCTTTCCCTGCTATTCTTGTTTCTCGTTGCTCACTAACATAATTATAATCATTAGAAATGTTCTTTTTGTTCAGTGCTCCGTTTCCACAGTTGTATACGTTAATGTATTCCTACAGTTCAAATCACTGATGGAGGCAGGTACGCATGTCAGTGTTTGAACTCACTCACCTTGGGTACTTTTAGTCACCTGTAAAAGTATGTTGGTAAAGATGCTGCATAAACACAGCTGTTGGCATGAGAACTTTCCCAGTAAATCATTTACTTCCCACTAAATGTAAATGAAGAAACCTAGGGTGGAACTAGAATAAAACTTTTTTTTAAACATGTTCCCTAAGAATTTGAGGGAAGACCTTGAAAAAAATATGGAGGTAAGTTAGTCCTGCCTTGGAAAATATCCAGTGGCAGAGCCAGAAACAGGTAATTACAAAATATAATAAAAATGAAAGTTACACCAGGGTACTAGGGTAACACAGTGTTTAGTATTGCTCCTATGACGTAGAAACATGGTAGAAGCCAGGTAATAGATGGCTCTGCATCTCTTCCTAAGTAATTTGGACCTAGTTTATGTGCCTCAGTATACCAGCGTATGCAACATAGATCTGGATTCTATGTAAATCACTGACCGGAGAAGAGAATGGATTTAAGGAGAGGGCAACGATTGGAATCAGAAGCATATATTATATCCCATATAATAATAGGGAGGGGGATGATTTCAATCTGAAATTTGGGGACATGTCAGGAGACAGACTTGGGAATGATCAACATCCAGTGACTTTGCATTGGGATATTCAGAATAAGGACTCTGTATTAAATTGCCAAAGAGGGGGAAAGGGCATTAGATCTTCCTAGATTAGACAGAATCTCGGAATCACTTCAGGAGTATTGCATCAGGGTCACAGAAGCAAGAGGAAAACAGCAGCAGCATGGGAATCTAGGTTTAGTAGTAACAGCAGTAGTCTGTTACCCTTCATCAAGAGCATTGTGTTACCCCAGTTTCACACAAAGAATGAAGCCCAGGATGGTTGTTGAGTAGACCACCAACATCCATGTAGGTAGTAAGCAGGAGAGCTAGAATCAAACCTAGGCTCCAGAGCTCAGTAACCAACAATTCCATATACTACAGGGATTCAGTGAACCAGAGCTTAAAATACCCATTATATCTTGTGACCTTTTCAATAGAATTTTCAGAACTAAAGCCAGCTTACTGGAGTTTGAGGAAGGAAAGACATGAAAGTAAATTTAGACTGTTTCCAGAATCTTCACTAGAGGAGGAGGACAGTAAAATAACAATGTAAAATTTAATGGAATGAAGTGTGCCCTGAGAGGTTACAAAAAGCCAAGGAAATTTTCAAGGCAATTTTCAAGCGAGTATCTTCAAGAACCCAAAAGGGTCAACTGCAGAATTCTCTGTGAATTCAAAGCAAACCTATCTATCACTGACTGTATCTTAATGCCATTTTTTAAATGAGGCATTTACAAGATACTGGAGAAATTTTCTTGGGGAAAGTTTTGAAAAAGTACAATCAGTTCCTCAGGACAAAAAGGTTTACTCCCAGCATAGCTTCCAGCACTTAACACAGCCTTAGCCAGCACTGGCTCTAATGTCTCCTGCATTAGATTCCTACAAAATCCTTTCCCACTCAATGTACCAGTGGTACAGAAGACCAATCAGATGTCAACTACATTGGGGTGCTTGGGTGGCCCAGTGGGTTAAGCAACCAACTTCAGCTCAGGTCATGATCTCATGTTTCACGAGTTCGAGCCCCTCATCAGGCTCTGTGCTGACAGCTAGGAGCTCAGAGCCCTCTTTGGATCTGTGTCTCCCTCTCTCTCTCTGCCCCTCCCCTGCTCATGCTCAGTCTCTCTCTCTCTCTCAAAAATAAACATTTTAAAAAATTTATTTTTAAAGTCAACTACATTA